CTGACATTTTAACAAGGGTAACTATCAATATGTGGTTAATGAAAGATATGCCAATGCTTCATATTTATGTGTGCTTTAAACTTTAAAATATAAAAACTGAGTTGTAATTTTTGATATCTTGTAAATTACAAGCCATCTATATCCAAAGAAAGATGTGAAATTGATGAAAGCGATATAGTGAGATTATAAAATCAGTCAGGCATCAAAGTACATGTAAATCAATCAAAACAGTAGTTTGAATAATAATTTTACTAAAAGTATCTCTATAATACAAATTTTTAGTTCAAAAAACATTAAAAAACAATTCTCTAATATATATTCAATCTGAAATTTATAAATTCTATTCTGATTGGTATTACTACGTACTTAATCCTTTAGACCATTGTGCCTGAACCCATATATACAAAATGTATAACTTAACTAATATGTATAATTAAAAATCTGTGATTATAATAATGACACATTTCAATGAATCTTTTACTAGATTTCATATAAAAATAAAAAGATATATAATAACTTAGTTATAAAAATATTTAACACAAAATAATGTATATTGTTTTAAGAATAAGATAAATTACATAAAATATAAAATCATATTACAGTAATATATAAACATATATTTTCTCATAAGCAGTGGAGAAAGCATGAATATAATGGAACATTATAGTTAAATCAATTGAATGATGGGAAAATGATATACTCACTGACAGGTTTACCATCTTTCCATTGTGTAAATTTTACATTTACTTCATCACGTTTCATAGCTTCTGCTTTTAAATCTTGTTTCAAAGCTTTTCTAACAACCCTGGCAGCTATTTGCGAATAATTGATGTAACTGAAATATAAACGCAGATTATATAACATTTTTATAATGATATAAATTATGAAATATTTTTTGAATAAATATTTTACTTCAATCCTGCTTGTCTCCACGCAGACATTTTTATTGATAATTTTATTTTAAAAAGTGCTTTTAATTCAACTACAACGTAATCAATTAAAATAGATCAAACCCTTCTACAATTTGACGAAAACTGTTCATCTAAAGAGCACCGATCAGGTCATAGACATTCCAACTATAAGACAGATAGTATAGCAAAGAAACTCGTTTAGAACCTCAGAATTTATGCACTAAATTCATCGATTCTTGCCAAATACCTAGAACTAACCAAACACAGCGACGGTGGACCTATGTGAAATGGCATACAATGCGCAAGTGAGATGCGCGAAATAAAACTACAGAACTTTCCAATCAACCTAATGTGCATTGTCCCGCTATCGCGTGAACGTAGCTTACATCGCTTGTTATGCACGTTCGTGAATATAACTTTTATATAGTATGCCTTAGCTAAAGAGATCGACACGTATATCTGGAGCGCAATTTGAATTCTCAATAATGTATGTTTTAAAAAGATAGAATGTTCGCGGTACTGGGGCCGAGAAGACACTTACCATTTTCGTGTCGCTATCAACGTTACCGATTCAGTATAGAATAAGATTACAACATAAGTAGTGGTTGAAATTGGAATTAAACATAGTTATGAAATTACAAATAAGAAAGTAATATAATTGTTTATTAGTAGATGATTCATCATATGCGCGTGTTCTACTGCTGGCAGAAAATCGTGAACAATTCTACCCATGTAATCCAATATATGTATGTATTTTTAAATGCAAATTTAATAAAAGAGGATTTTTTACATCTGTCGAATTTACTATCTTTTACGGTTGGATTATATGTAATTCTTAAACTCACAACTTTATATCGTAGAGGGCATAACAAAAACTTTGATCTTTTACACAATCGGTATATCAGAACGTTGGATACAAAAATTCATTAGGTGTTAAATCTATCCTGTATCTTTGTCTATGCCTATATCTCGTGTGTGTTTATATGAATTAAAATGTCTGTTAATATAAACTGTTGAATACTTATTGTCAGAATGATTTTCACGCATTTACTTGTGCATCGTATGTCATTTCACGTAGGATCACCGTTCCTGTGCGTTCGGTTAGTTCTGGAAATTCGGCAAAGATCGACGCACCTTAGTGTACTGTAGTGTTCTTCACTAGGAATTTTTTTATTTCTTCTAAGAAGACATAAAACGCGTGAAATAAAATGTAGGACGGGTTTTGAATGAGAACCGTATATTTTATAAGCAATAAATAATGAGGAATAAACTCGGTGCAAACTCTATAAATGCTGGCGAATTTTCGCTATTTCTCGGTCTCTTTTAGAACTCTCCCCTTTATACTGCGTCTTCCCTTTTTCTTCGTGTCTTCTTAAGGCGGGAAAAAGTCCTGCGCAATCACGGTGCGCATTATTATAGAGTGCATAGTCATCAGTGTCTATAGGAGGTTTTGCATGTACGGTTATAAGGGTGTACTGTTACTGCGCCTTTTCATGTAGCTGTTGCTACAGTCCTTTACAGTTCTAGGGAAATTTCATGTAAATTGACACAAAACTAAACTAGCGTAAATACATTAATGGAATATCCGTAGCAGCTGATCACTGATTTCTAGAAAGTTTCTAGCAAGATGTCGGGGGGTGTTTTGCGTGACAAGCCGCTGGTATGCTTTCGGACGATATGACTTGCTCATTACAGTGCATGTCTACAAAATTCTGGCCTATATTAAGCCGTAGAGTGTTGTAATATTGCTGCAGTTAAGATTTAAATTTTGACTACTCTTACAACTTTAAAAAACAAGAAAGCTAGGACTATTTGCGAAAATTGTGTCAGTGCGTGTACCACTGCCAAGACCAATATTTGGAATGTTAATTTTTCTTGTGATTACGGGATAAAATTTTCATATTGAACAAGAAACTTTTACCAAAATTGACAGAAACGTTATTATTACTTAAAATTGGGATGGGAGCTAAAGCAAGCACTGTGGCACAATCTGCTGGAGGCAATGGACAATCCTCTACTGGAGCAAATGAAACTACAATGCAAGGTTTTTCTGTGCTACGTTCTGTTCCTGGAGGTGTTGGCATGTTACGGCATCAACTTCAACAAGGAAACCCATCACAAACTTCCCAAGTATCTGGAGATAGTAGGCAGCGTGCACGTTCTTTAAGTTCAGTACCAGATCTTTCATCTGGCGAACAAAGCAGTCTTGCTTCTTCAGTTGGAGTTGGAGTTGGTCAAGTACTTGGTTTGCCACAGCTTGATTCAGATGATGCTGATGAAGAGAGTGGACGAGTTTATGCAGCCCATAGCTTGCCCTCTCATATTTGGTCTCTTAATGGTAAGTGTATCAGTTCATACTAAGTTAAACTATAATATTGTTATAAAGTTTAAAGTAACAGCTTCTTATGTATTCTTATTATTATCACTTTTGTGAGTATACATTATAGTAGATACATGATCCATGTGTGAATGTATACATGTATAGATACACGCGCCTAACATGTGACGCGTGCGCGTACACGTACGCACATGCATTTACACACATGTATATGCAGTGATATACATATATCTACATATATTGTAATGAATATATAAATATCATAATTTAATAATTTACTTATTATAAATAAATTTGTAATATTTGTGGAGTAATGAGTAAATTTGTGTAATCTATAAAATTATGCGTAAATTTTTATTGCATTAAGTAGGATAATATAAATGTTATCACTGATTACATAACGTTGTGTGATGTGTATGTGCTCCGTATAAATATAGACGGGTTTTCTGTCTTTTGTTCTTTTATTTTCGAAAACAACAGTGATTTATTAAACTTCTGTGCTCTATTATTTTTATTAATATATTACATGAATTTCCTCGATGGTAAAATCACCACGTTTTTGAATTGGTTACGTTTTATCGATTATATTAAAATATCAAATCATTTTGTAAATCATAACTGTAAATCATAACTGTAATTAAATTTTGAGAAAATAAAAATAAGGTTATGTTGCAACTATAAAATTTTAGGAAATAATTGTGGATGAAATAAGGAATATTTGTTTTGCGCATGTTGTCGAAGTAGTTGGCCCGGTAACCACATGTAAATCGATTGAGATTTAACGTAGTTGCGTAAATTTTAAATTGTGACTGTCAAAACAATACTAATTCTAAACAATGCAATTAAACAAATTTTAAAATATTATCTGTGATGGGTGAATCAAAATTAATTGAATTTTATTATGGGAATTATAATAAGTTCATGTTTAAATGAGTCTGAGACTGAGGTTGTTCCAGTAAATCAAGTGAGAAGAATTTTTTATGGTACAGCTCTTCTTAGTCTAATGACCATAAATATTTTTGTGCAACAAATAATTTTCTTACTTTATATTTAAGGTCTAAAATGTCCTGTTTGCTCCAAATTTATTCTACCAGATGATATAGAATGTCATCTGGTTATGTGTTTGACCAAGCCACGACTTAGTTACAATGGTAAGTTTATATTGTTGACTAATTAAGTGCTTCAATATGATTATTAAGAATGTTTTTATTTTCATACAATGGAGTGTAATAATAAACTCTGCATATGTATCCTTTACATTGAAATTATGTAAAAAGTATTATGGAATATAACTATCAATTATTTCTATGGTTAATAAATTTTACATTTTTTTTTTATAATTTGTTTTATATATTTATAATGCATATA